CTAGATATTACGATCAGCAAAACGGATTGGTGGTCAGCAGAATGAATCTGACTCTAGCAAAGATGGAGAAAATGACCAACCCTCTGCCCACGGTCAACAACCCAGAATCCACTGGCAATTTGGTCTACATCTACAGCAATCCTTTCTCGGATACCGAGGAGCGTAGGGTCAGCAAAACTGCCATGAATTCCAACCAGATCACTTCGGACAACTCTCTCAGCTCGAGCGAAGAAAAATTGAAACAGGATCCGAATCTACGAACAGACTCGACCAGTTCCAGCTCGTCCAGCATCTCCAGCAGCGAGGAGAACGATTTCTGGCAGCCTAAACCCACATTGGAGGACGCTCCTCAGAATCCTCTGCTGCCCCATTTCATCGGGTACAAAGGGAAACACATTGGAAAATCCGGCAAAGTGGACGTGATAAAAGCCGCCAAGGAGCTCATCTCCCAAATTGCCAACGAGCTCGAGGATGCGAGCAACATCCCCGTTCACGCCACTCTCGAAAAATTCACCATCCTTTGCAATTTGTTGCGCACCATGAACAGGAAGCAAATGACCGAGTTGGAAACCAACATGCAGATCTCGCCCAACGAGTTGAAGCCGAACGACAAGTCTCAGGTTATCAAGCGGAATACATGGACGGTGTTCAGGGACGCCATCACCCAAGCTGGAACCGGACCTGCCTTTTTGACCATCAAGGAATGGATCGAGAGGGGCAATATCAGGGGCATGGAGGCGGCGAGCATCGTGAGCAAACTTCCAAAGACTGTTCGTACACCGACCGACAGTTACATCAGATCCTTCTTCGTGAGTAATCATATTATCCCGTACAAACGTTCGATTTATTATACAAATTTCACCATTCTCTCATATGTCTTCTCAATTCTCAGGAAATGATGCAAAATCCTAAAGTGAGTAACGAACAATTCCTCAACACCGCGGCAACCGTATCGTTCAGCGAGCTGATCCACAACGCCCAAGTGAACAAGAGGAGGATTCATAATAACTATCCGGTCCACACGTTCGGTCGTCTCACGTCGAAACACGACAACACCCTCTACGACGAGTACATACCGTTCCTGGCGCGGGAACTGAAGAAAGCCCATCAGGAAAAGAACAGCCCCAGGATCCAGACCTACATCATGGCTCTGGGCATGATCGGGGAACCCAAGATTCTGTCCGTGTTCGAGCCTTATCTGGAAGGGAAGGAGCAGACGACCGTGTTCCAGAGAACGTTGATGGTCGGTGCTTTGGCCAAATTGGCCGAAACGAATCCGAAACTGGCACGCTCGGTTCTTTACAAGATTTATCTGAACACGATGGAGAGCCACGAAGTACGTTGCACCGCAGTCTTCATTCTGATGAAGACCAATCCACCGCTGAGCATGTTGCAACGAATGGCGGAATTCACCAAGTTGGACGCGAACAGGCAAGTGAACTCGGCCGTGAAATCGACCTCCAAAGCTTGACGAAGCTGCAGAGCCCCGAATGGAAAGATCTCGCGAAGAAAGCTAGAAGCGTGCAGCATCTTCTCACGCCTCACGAATACGATTACGAATTGTCTCGGGAATACATCGACGAGAAGATTTTGAACAGCCATAACGTCATCAGCCACATGATCCTCAATTACGTGGGAAGCGACGATAGCGTGGTTCCACGCACCCTTTATCTTACCTGGTACTCCTCTTACGGTGATTTAAAAATACCTTCCACCGAGGTGCTAGCCATGGTCTCGAGCGTGAAATCTCTCATGGAGTTGGGCCTGAAGAGCGTGAAAGACCGAGAAACGATTATTTCGGCGGCCGAGAAGATCGCGGAGGAGTTGAAAATTGTCCCTGAAGAGCTGGTTCCCCTCGAAGGAAACTTCATGATAAACAACAAATATTCCTTGAAATACTTCCCCTTCGATAAGAACACTCTCGATAAATTACCCACGCGTAAGTATTTCTTCTATCAGTAATTTTGATAAAGAAATTTTTTCAATTAGATTTTAATTAACCGAAATCTGAGAGATTACGTATTGTCCAACGTTTCAGTGATCTCCAACTACATAGACGCCGTGAAGGAAGGAAGCTTCATGAACCTCAACATGTTGGACGGCTATGACACAGTGCACAGTTTCCCCACTGAAACCGGCTTACCGTTCGTGTACACTTTCAACATTCTAACGTTGACCAAGGCAAGCGGAACTGTCCAGGTCCGGATCAATCCCGACTTCGCTTTCATCGGGAATTCGAATCTTCGCCTGGCCTTGTCGAAGAACATCCAAGGGAGAATCGGTTTCGTCGCACCGTTCGAGCATCGACACTTCGTCTCGGGCGTCGACTTGAACTTCCACGTATACGCCCCGCTGAAAATCTCCCTGGACGTGAACACGCCCAAGAGCAACATGCAATGGAAGATCTGGCCGATGAAGGGCGAGGAGAAGTCGAGATTGTTCCATTACAGCGTCGTTCCATACGTGTCCAACCACGACATTCTCAATCTTCGCCCCCTGTCAATGGAGAAGGGCACTCAATCGATGATACCCGACGACAACACGTCCGTCGCTCTTCCAAAGATGAACCGAGGACCGTTCAGGATCAACGTCGAAACTGCTGAAAGTAACGAGAATTTGTGGGGAATGGTCGATAGCGAGAAATTGCTCGATCGTCTCGCTTCCCCCTGGACCATGGACAACGACAAATACTGCAAGATTGACATGTACATGAATTTGGAGGCGAGCAGAAAGATCCTATAATGTTCTCCGCGGCTTTCGACACCAAGGTGATGACACCTGACACGGATTCACAAAACTGGACGCCCAAAACGATGGCGGTCGAGCCGGCGGACAAGCAGGTGAACAGCAAGACTCGTAGGCAACAAATGATGGAGGAGGCGGGAAGGGGTATCAAATCGGCGAAATCGTACGTGGTGGACGTTCGAATGCACATTCCTGGCGAGTCGGAGAGCGAAACAATTCTCACGTTCGCGTGGTCGGACAGCAACGTGGAGAGGAAGGGTAGATTGCTCGGTTTCTGGCGCGTCGAGATGCCGAAAAACAACGTCAACTACGAGGTTTGCATGGGCTCTCAGACCATGGTCTCGCCGGAAACTCTTGTGGCCTACGACGAGAAGATTCACGAGGAGCCGAAGATAGATTTCAACGTCGATATCCGTTACGGTGAGAACTGCGGCAAGGGTGAGCGGATCGATGTCAAGGGTAAAATTAGCCAGAGCCACAGGCTTAAGGAGCTGGTCAGGGCTACGTCCATAATCAAGGATTGCGTGGAGGAGATGAAACGGGGGAACAAAATATTGAAAACGTGTCAGAAAGCTGTCGTATTGTCCATGTTGCTGGACGAGGTGGACATCTCGATGGAGGTCCCCTCCGACGCCCTTATAGCCCTGTACGCCCAGAGCCTCGTAACCTTGAGCGAGATCGACAACTTGGACGTGAGCATGGATCTCTCGAATCCCAAAAATGCTGGCAAAAAGAAGATCGACGTGAAGGCCAAACTGAACGAGTACCTAGACAAGGCTGACGTGATTGTCAACACACCCGTCCTGGATGCTCATTTCAAGGATGTGAGATTGTCCGACTTTGGATTCACCATCGAGGACGTTTTGGACACTGCCGACGAGGATTTGTTGATCAACAATATATTCTACGAGGATGAAAGTAAGTTTTCTCGATCGAATCGAATCATCGAATCACGACTCATAAAATTATTTGATTCAAGCTTCCTGCATGCTGGACAAGACCCGTGCTCAGACGTTCGACGGCAAGGAATATCCTCTTAGACTGGGTTCCTGCTGGCACGCTGTAATGACCACGTATCCGAAGAGCAACCCGGACAATCACAACGAGAAACTTCACATTCCCAAAGACAGAAGCGTGAGCGTGCTCAGCCGAGAGAACGAGAGCGGGCAGAAGGAAGTGAAGATTTTGCTGGGAAGCGACAAGATCAAGTTCGTGCCTGGAACGACGAGCCAGCCGGAAGTCTTCGTGAACGGAGAGAAGATCGTGGTGACCAGGGACAAAGCCTATCAGAAGATGGAAGGAAACGAGATCATTTTCGAGATCTACAAGATCGGCGATAGATTCATCGGTCTGACGTCTGACAAATTTGAAGTATCCCTGGCTCTCGACGGGGAACGCGTCATGATCAAGGTAATCAAATTCTCCCGTTTCTTTCAAAATCTTCTCGATCCATAAATAATGAGAATTTAAAACGAATTCGTTCCACAGGCGTCCGAAGATTATCGCTACTCCGTACGCGGTCTCTGCGGCAATTTCGACCACGACTCGACCAACGACTTCCTGGGCCCCAAGAACTGCGTGTTTAGAAAGCCCGAGCACTTCGCAGCCAGCTACGCCTTGATCAACGACCAATGCGAGGGCGACTCGTTGAACGTCGCGAAATCTCTTCGGGATCACGATTGCGTCCGGCAAGAGAAGAACCGGCAGAGCAACGTGATTAGCGACAGCGAATCGGGACGATTAGGCGCCGATGTGTCGAGCTATTCCAACAAACGCTGCATGATTCACAGGACCCAGGTAAAGGAGACCGACGACAAGATCTGCTTCACCATGCGTCCAGTTGTCTCTTGCGCGTCTGGTTGCACGGCCGTCGAGACCAAATCGAAGGAGTACAAGTTCCACTGCATGGAGAAGAACGAGGCCGCGATGAAGCTGAAGAAGAGAATCGAGAAGGGCGCCAATCCTGATCTTAGTCAGAAACCTGTTTCCATCACCGAGGAATTGAACGTCCCTCTCGTCTGCAAGGCCTAACTCGAAATGCACTTTACCGCTTTGTCTCGTTTGCAACAATTAAATGTAGTTTTATAGCAGATTATTTACTTTAATAAAATTCACTGTTTTCAATAATCTTTTGAATCCTCTCTTTCGTTTCTCTTTATTTTTCTTTTTCTTTTTTGCTCACGATTTTGAATTTACGCAAGTAAATTGGACTATTCTTCAGCATCGAGCGATCCATTGATTCGAACGTGTCGTCTGAAAAAAATTAGCTAACAACATTGAAAATAATTCAAAGCTTAAAGATCGTGAATAAATAACGATTGCGCGTAAATCTGGATCGTAACAGCATCAAATGCTTTTTAATTTTTTATTTTAGTTTCATTTGTTCTTGTCGTATTCCGTCCAATATATCATATTGATTGATCGATCGGAAGTATTTAAGAACACAATTCTGTCGAAGAATCGTGAACGGGGCATTTCAAGTGTAACCGGTTCAGGTGACAATCCATTTTCTCGATTTTCTCAAAGAGCAAGTCTTCCTTGACGTAACAAGCCTCCTGCTCGAATTCTTTTCTTAAGGAACACGCTTTCTTCTGTCCTTCCTTCTTCTTCACATTCGAATCACAGTACGTTTTCTCCAATGCTGTTAGTATGCGTATATGGTTCTCTTTACGCATTCTCTTCTCATGTTCATCGTAAGGCTCGCCTAAATTTACGACACGGTCAATGAAATATCGAACGAAATTTAATATTTTTGCTTTCAATTTATTACTTCTGTACAGGGGCATCGCTTCAGCTTCCAGCTTTTTTTGGATTTCACGAATCTCCTTCTCGCATTTCTCGTAATACGTGCCTCGTAGAATGAACGATGGTTTCTCATCGATTTCACATTTCTGACACTTCTTCCCCTTCGGTCTTAATTTTTTATTGCGCATGTAATGTTTATACTGCAAGCATTTCAGCATCGCCTCGATAAAAGTGAACTTGGTATTGTCAATTTTCGTGATCACGCCTGGCTGACACGTAGTTCTCAATAAATGGTGAAGCTGTAACACGAAACGGAACACGAGACAAAGAAATTTGATCGAAACAAAGTAAATTTTTATCCTTTCAAACTTACTTTGAACAGAATGAAAAGTATCCATTGCATCGATTCCTCTTCCATTATTTTTTGAATGTATTCGATCTCCTTATCCCTGAATCTAAATGAAAATATTTCCAATTGACGTCCCTACGACTCTTTTAATATTTGATTTATCGTATCTTACGTTTCTACGTAAAATTTACCACAAATAATCTTTGAACGATTTAATCAAAAACATCTTCAAATATATTTCGTGAATATAATATGAAATTCAAGAGCGGAAGAAACACAAATAAGATTTTTATTAGAAACCTTTTCATGCTCTTCACAGTTTCTTCGTTCTTTTCGTATACTTCGTTCAACCAACAATGCATCTTTTTAATGTCAAGCAGAGTTTTTCTCAGCCAATAACCACGCCAAAACGCTTGAATCTTGGTCGCCATCTTTTCGTAATATTCCTCCCACATTTGATGAACACTTTGAATCAAGTATTTCTCGAAAATGATCCTGGCACAATAGCCCCGCCAATGACGTTGAATGATGACAGCGCTCTCGTGCAGCAATCGAAGATGATTCCTAGTGAGAATACCGCGGATCCAGGCCTGCACTGTCAACCCAAAATCCAATTGAACCGAATTGTAACATCAGGAGAACGATATCCTAATTTCAATCGAATAAAGAAATAGAGAATTCGAGTTTAAAGGAAAATATTTTTTCGAGAATCATAATTCACATATATATATATATATATATATATATATATATAT